GAACCAGAAACAGTAGAATAAAGTCCATTCAAAATGCTATTTCCAGCAAAAATGCCCTTCAGGTGTAATAGCAAAATAAAGACACTCTCAGATGAATGAAGACTAAAATATACTGTTATAGACTGAAGTGTAACTCCTCAAAATTTGTATGTTGAAGTCTTAACATCCAGTGCTTCAGAATGTGACTATTTTAGGGCACCTGGGCGGCTCAGTTGGTTAAGCGACTGCCTTCGGCTCAGGTCATGATCCTGGAGTCCCAGGATCGAGTCCTGCATCAGGCTCACTGCTCAGCAGGGAGTCTGCTTCTCCCTCTAACCCTCCCCCCTCTCATGTGCTCTCTCTCTCTCTCACTCTCTTTCTCAAATAAATAAATAAAATCTTTATAAAAAAAGAATGGGACTATTTTAGACATAGGGCCTTTAAAGAGGTTAAGTTAAATTAAGTTAAAATGAGGGCAGTAGAGTGGGCCCTAATCCAGTAGAACTGATGTACTCATAAGAGGCAAAAATTAGGACACAGATACAAATTCAAAGGCAAGCAAAAGATAGAAAATAATAAAGAGTAGAAATTAATCACATTGAGAAGAAAAAGAAGGTAGGGTAGGGGCGCCTGGGTGGTTCAGTTGGTTAAGCGACTGCCTTTGGCTCAGGTCATGATCCTGGGGTCCCAGGATCAAGTCCCACATCAGGCTCCCTGCTCAGCAGGGAGTCTGCTTCTCCCTCTGACCCTCCCCCCTCTCATGCTCTCTCTCTCATTTTCTCTCTCTCACATAAATAAAATCTTTTAAAAAAATGAGGGTAAATTAATGGAACCAAAAGCTGGTTCTTTGAAAGACTAATATATATTTTTTAAAAGTTCTAGCCAGACTGACCAAGAAAAAAAAAACAAAAATGAATCCTTATATTGAGAATCAAAGAGGGGATTTCACTGCAGACTCCACAGACATTAAAAGGATAAGAGAACACTACTAACAACTGTATGCCCATAAATTCAACAACAGCTGAGAGTCCATGATGCAACCTACCAAAATTGAATTCATCATTTAAACCCTCCCAGCAAAGAAGACTCCAGGCGTGGATGGCTTCATCACTCAATTCAACCAAGTATGTAAGAAAGAAATAATACCAATTATATACAGTATCTTTCAGAAGATAGAAGAAAAGGGAACATTTCTCCCCTCTTTTTATGAGGTCATCATTACCATGATATCAAAACTTAAAACTCTACAAAATGCAAAAACCAAAACAACATTACAAAATAGGATTAGAACATTACAAAAAAAAAAAACCACATAATAAGCTTTTAACACATGAATTGTAAAATATCCTTCCTTCTCCCCCTCCTATCCTTCCACAATCCTGCAAAACCACACCCAACCAAACCCCTAAGAAAGCCCTCAGACACAGTTATGCAGCCTTGACCCAAGGGAAAAATGCCAGTAGCTGCAAGTGTCTTACTGCATGCCCTCTGATGCAGGGCTTGATGCACGGAGTGGAATTTGGGCTGAATTTTAGATCCCATTCACCCTGTGGTAGGCTGAATAATGGTCCCCCTAAACACCCATATCCTAACCCCTGGAACATGTGCATGTCACCTCTTATGACAAATAGGATTCTGCAAATGTGATTAAGGATCTTGAGATGGGGAAGTTATCCTGTAGTATCAGGTGAGCCCTAAAGGTAATCAAAACTGTGTTGATAAGAGAGAGGCAGGGGGAGATTTGACTGAAGGAGAAGTGAAGGCAGTGTAACAACAGAAGCAGAAAGAGATTTGGAGATGCTACACTGCTAGCTTTGAGGATGGAGGAAGGGCCATGAGTTAAGGAATGTAAAGAAGGGCTCTAGAAGCTAGAAAAGGCAAGGCAAAGGATTCTCCTCTCAGAACTTCTGAGAAACCAGCCTTGCCAACACTTTGACTAGCCCAATGAGACTGATTGCAGATTTCTGACCTCTAGAGCTGTAAGAGAATAAATTTATATTGTTTTAAGCAACTAGGTTTATGGTAATCTGTTACAGCAGCAACGGAAAACCGGGAACTGGGCACTTAAGTACACAGCCCAATCTGCATGGCTATTCAAGATGGCCTGCATATTGTCCACTGCTTCTTCTTCTATCCACAGACTAGTAAATTAAGACAGAGGCAGCAACTAGTTAGCAATTCTTCTTTCTTAAATTTCTAAGGCCTCCCCCAGCCTGACGTCTAGGCATGGGGGCATATGTTTTGACTCGTTCTATCTCTAGCTCCTTTCTCTCTGGTCCTCAAATGCAACTGGAAATGGAAGTTCTGGGACTAAGCTTTTGTTTTTGGAGGGGGGCTGGCAAATAGCTACCCGCTTTTCTTGGGGTGCCTCAGAAGAAGGAAGTTGGCTTATGATGACAAGATAGGGCCTACACATTCCTCAGTCTCCTGGCTAAATGCCATTGTAATACCATCTTAACCACTAATGAATTCCAGCATACTACACATTACTATGAGAGCACAGTGGAAGGAAGGATTATATTAAAAGTGTGTTTATCAGACTGATTATGATCTATTTACATTAGTGGATTTTTAAATCAATTTTGTTCAGTCTAATCAGAATTTCTAATGAAATAAAATAGAAATTATCAGAATGTATTGCAGATGGATGGGTAAGCATAGCTCTATAAAACCTTAGTCTCAATTATACACACGAGCACGAGTTCTGTGTTGCAATATGAAATATATTTCTTTTACTAAGTCTTAGTCAGAGGGTTTGAAAAATATTGGAATATGAACTTTCAAATAGCTATCCCAACTCTCATCTCACTGTTCTTATGAAGAGTCAAAGAGAAAGACAAAAATGGACATAGTTCTCTAAAACTGAAAGGGCATTTTCAATAAAGTCCTCACTTAACTCACTTTTGATAGCTTGAACTTGTAATGATACTGAAGCAAAGCTATTCAGAGCAAGAGTTCTTAACTTATGTCCAGGTGGTCTAGGAAACCTCTGATTGTATGCAAAATGCTGTAGATGAAAATGGACATATTTTTAGGAAAAGGTCCACATTTTATATAAGATACCCAAAAGAATCCACAAACTTTTGATACATTAATCTTGTCTGGCAGTGCCATAATTCTGGGAATGGCAGAACTTGATGATAGTAATTCAAATTGATTTAGGAAAAGACATTCTGATTGAGTCAGGCCTAATAACGGGGTTGGACTAATACAAGATGAGCAGTTGATATCAGTAAAGAAGATACCAAATTACGAAGACTTTTTCTAAAAAGAGACTGTCCTTTATTATATGAAATCAGTTGTGTTAATGATGGGCTATAATACAGGTTGATTCTTAAAATGGTTGATAGAAAAACATATTTGGTTTCATGACATAACTCATATAACCACGTCTCCATCTTAGTCTTGATAGGCAAGAACATAGGGCCTTGTCATCTCTTGCCATGACCTCTTGTCACTCCTCACCTAGTTATTTCCTATTTATCCTTACAAATTCATTTTAGGCCTCATCTCCTACAAAAGAGTTCCCTCTCCATGCCAGGCTCAACTGACACAAGAGCTCCAACTTGCTCTTCCATAGCAACCAATGCACAGCACTATTAGGTACTTACCTTGTTACATGGAGATTGTCTAAGTCACATCCCACCTCTGCACCGCACGGTAAGTGCTCTGAAGGCAGACAGGGACTGATGAATCTTAATCTCCAGGTCACCAAAAATTAGCTGGGTGCTTGGCACACAGTAAGAATCAGTACCCGCTACCAATGACAACAAATTATAAGTTCAGTTCCTAGAGCATAAACTTATCAAAATTGGCTAAAGTCTTTTTTTCTTTAACAACGCAGTATATATATTTTAAAATATATTAATACAACACTATTATAGTAATTTGTTAGATATTTGAGACAGAGAAGTACTCCAAGGGTGTAAGCAGGTATGGACTTCAGGCAAGTCAGGCAAGTACGGGGGAAAGGCTATGGTTGTAAATATTGATTGGTGATGACTGGTCCGGCACGCAGTGATCTTCTGAGAAAACGGAAGTGGCAATGTAGGAAGCTTGTGAGGAGAGTTTCCAGACAATTCCAGCATATTTGTTTCCATAGAAAAAGACAACATTAGCAACAAAATTTGCTTAACATCAATTTGACTAAATACCTTCCCCTTAACAATTCAGGGCTCCAAACATTCTTATTTTGTATCTGTGGTATAAACGATGTTTTGGATGTCTCACCACATATACTTTCCCCCATTTTCTAAGAAAGATGTGGCAGACAGAAAGTGAATAGTCTAAGAGACTGTATTCCTAGCTTTTGTATTTCAGAAATCTAGATTTCACTTGGCTTTGTTCATTGGTTTACCTGAGGTGGAAGGACAGGGCAGATGGAGCAAAGGTAAAGGATGAAGATAAACGAGTGAGGTTTTTGGGTTAGAATACCCCTGCCTTAAATGAACATTGGTCCTTTAGCAGGAACTTATTCCTTTTCCTCAGCATATGCAGCTTAAATATGAATGCTGGTGAAGCAATGAGAGAAGACAGCAGCACCTGGCAAGTCAGCCAGACTCCCCTCACAGCATACACTTAGCCCAACATAAACTTATAATGGAATGGTTAACCGGAAGGGCACCAAGCTGGGGGGCTCTGTCAGTTAAGCATCTGCCTTCGGCTCAGGTCAGGATCCAGCCCCACATTGTCATCAGGCTCCCTGCTCAGCGGGAGAGAGCTCCCTCTTTCTCTGCCCCTCTACCCCTACCCGGCCCCCATCCCCACCCCTGCTCATACTCTCTCTCAAATAAATAAATTCTTTAAAAAAAGAAAGAAGGGCACCAAGGGAGTGTGATCCCCTGAGGTCCCAACAAAGTCCCAGGTGTGTCTTCAACTAGAAAACTCAGAAAGCATTGCTCTGACCACTTGTGGCAAATAACCTGATTTACCTCTGGAATGATCCATCTCTGGAATGTTCACATATATAGTTCTCTGGGGAGAGATAGCAAAATTTACCATGATGCATAGTCAGGTATGTAGAAAATATTTATTAGGACACTGTTCATTACAGATGAAGAAAAGACAAAGTTTCTTACACAACATCACGGAGTAGCAGGGCTGGGTCAGCAGCACCTCAGGAGCCAGAATGAGGCTGGGTCCCCCATTCCCAGCCCCCAGTGGCAGCAGGGTTCTGTGGGGACAGGAGGAAGACAGGGGAGACCCTGCCTGCGTGAATGCATTAAGAGGTGAAAAAGCAATCCTCTCCTGAAAGCACCAAAACAGTGCAATAAGTTTTTCCCTCTAAAGTAAAAATAGGTAGTTTCACCATCATACCTAAACATTGAAATGATACAAATTTTCCCCAGGAAACCACGAATCCAAACTTTGGGTTTTATACAAACAACCGGGAGCCATGCAGGTACTTGTTGAGTGGCCACAGGTTGCTCTCACCCACACTGGAGGTACGCCTCTGGCACTGCTTGCAGCGCTGATACTTCTCACACTGGTCCAGAAGGAAGAGCTTGTCTGATGCCCTGCGGAGAGGGGAAGCCGAGCAGTCATCATCAGGCGCTCCCTGAGGCCATGCCAGGGGCTGAGTTTAGAGACCAGCACAGTAGAAGAGATGGAAAGAGAAGTCACACCTGCTCCCTGCCCCCCCAGGTGCTCACCACCCACCTGTGACGGCCCACCTGCCGTCCCCCCCACACACACTGCTTCCCACAGCTCAAGCCAGCGGAGCATCTCCTGCTTCCAAACCTCTCTTTATTTGATCACAAAAACTCCTCTGTTAGCTTAAGTCAGGCAGGTGTCTGCTTTCTTCATCTTACAAATGAAAAAAGTAAGACAAAAAGATGAGCCGCCTCTCCAAAGTTAGTGTTAAATCTCAAAGCCATGACTAGATTCCCTAACGCTAGATTGTTGATCGATAGCTGGGGGCAGGGGGCACGGATCTAATACATGTCAGGAAGATGTTCTTGGTTGGTTCCATCGTGGGCACCTCAGTTTCCCAGTTGCCGATCTTACACACAACCCCCTGACTCTGCTCTTAAATGACCATTCTGTCAGCCTTGGATGTGTTCAGATGGAAAGTCCCTCTCCCTATTTCCAGCTAGTTATTTCCAAGGAGAAGTCCTACCTCCCCCCTATTCCCACCCCATGCCTCCCTACCCTCCACAAAACGACAATAAAGCTAGCCTACACAGAGGCAAACATCGGGGCAGAGATGGCAAGTATGTAACATACAGCACGGCATTCTCCAATCCCATCCTCGTAACAGTCTTCTAATACAGCACACAGTAGCTCCTACTGAACCCAGAATTCTCTTCTCCACCAGAGGTGCTAGGCAGCCACAACCAAAGACCTGAAGTTGGCCCTGGAAACCTGTCTGCCATGCCAGGATTTCAGGAAAGTCCACGAGGAGCAGAGGGAGTTTCTCTGCAAAGCCCTGGAGGTTCCAATCGGGAATTACCGCTCAAAAGCCTTCTCCTCCAGGTCCCGCTGCCTCTTCATTGCAGCACTGCTTTCCCAGTCTTCCTGCAAGCTCTGGTTGATTCTGTTCACCCGCTCGAGCTCAGCGTTTCTGTCCGCTGAGTGCCTGGAGAGAAGAGCATGATCTGCTTCTGTTCACAATACAGGAAATGGCAGGCACCGACCTTGGGAGCCCCATTCCCATCATGGTAGATTAAACAGAAACATTCTGGTTTTGTTCACTACTCTTTGAAATATACTAAAAGGCATGAACACTGAACAAAGAAAAACACTAAAAACATTATAGCTCTCAAATAGTTTATGGGTCTAGGACCTTTCATCTTCAACCCAGGTTTAAATTAGCAGAATTGAAACCTTCTTCCAGTTAACAAATGCAGCCTTTAAAGCCATTAATTTCCTTTGAGGCTAATTTAACTAAACTGAAGAATCATCTCAAATGGATTTCCTATACTTTAGGTTTCTTTCCTTTTATTCAAGTCTCTCAGCTGTCAGTAATCAGCCCACGAGTTGCTACAGGCATGGTACAAGGCAAAGTAGACAGGAATACAAATGAATGGCTAGAGAGGGGGAAAGAAACAGAAGTGACTGGCAAAGGAAAATGAAATCAAGAAAATACTTAACATTGTGAGGAACATAAAAAAGAGAGAGAGAGAGAGAGACTGTTTGGTGAAGGTCATGATATCAAAGAAGTGATTGTAGTGTCTCTCTCTTCAAGTACCATGCCCCAGAATTCCCAATGGTAGGTGTCTCTATTACTGGTCTCCAGATGCTCAGCCACTGCTGTTGTGAATCATCTTAAACCTGGTTCAAATTATTTATATGTGTCTATTTCTTGCCAGACTGAAACTCTTACCTTCAGTTCTCATTAAAGTCCAGAAAGGACTTCACTAAATGTGACCATTGATTTAGCCCACTCTGCAGGGCTCTGTGTTATAGGCAGCAACCGCCACTAGGTGTCAGGACGCTCTGATAAAAATCAGCAATGTACTCTGTGCTGGTTCACTTGTCCTAAAAGAGCATGGCCACATTTTCCTCTAATGAGCACTGATTCAACAATTCAGCTAGTGTATAGTCATTACAAAGTTTAAATGAAATAATATAGAGAAAGTGCCAATGCCTATCACAATGGGAGCTCAATGACTGAATTGTACCTGTTACATATCTATCTATCTATATCTCTTATAACCTTTTTTTCCTTTTCATTGTGTTTTTTAATAGTAAAAACCACATAGGGATGCCTGGATGGCTCAGTCCGGTAACCGCCTGACTTGGGCTCAGGTCATGATCTCAGGGTCCTGAGATCGAGCCCAGTGGCAGGCTCCATGCACAGCAGGGAGTCTGCTTGTCCCTCTGCAGCTCCCCTCTCCCCCTGCCATACTCTCTCTCTCAAGTAAATAAATAAATAAAATCTAAAAAAAAAATAGTAAAAATCACATAACATAAAACTGACCATCTTAAACATTTCTAAGTGTAGAGATACATAGTGTTAAGTATATTTACATTGTTGTGCAACCAATATCTAGAACTCTTTCCATCTTGCAAAACTAAAACTCTATACTCATTAAACAATTCCCCATTCCTCACTCCCCCCAGCCCCTGGTAGCCACCATTCTACTTTGTTTCCATGAATTTGACCACTCTGAATACCTCACAGAAATGGAATCATACAATATTTGTCTTATTATGACTGGCTTATTTAACTTAGCATAATGTCATCAAGGTTCATCCATGCTGTAGCATGTCATAATTTCCTTCTTTCTGAAAGCTGAGTAATGTTCCATTGTATATGTATAACAAATTTTGTTTATTCATCCGTCTGTGACAGCTTCCATTTCTTGGCTACTGAATGCTGTTATGAACATGGGAGGGCAAATATCTCAAGATCCTGCTTTCAACTCCACCAAAAAAAAAAAACAAAAAAAAAAAAACCCTACCTGAACTGATCAATGAATTCAGTTAAGGTCACAGGATACAAAATCAATGTACAGAAATCGGTTCCATTTCTATACGCTAATAATGAAACAGCAGAAAGAGAAATTAAGAAAAGAGTCCCACTGGGGCACCTGGGTGGCTCAGTCAGTTAAGTGTCCCACTCTTGATCTCAGCTCAGGTCTTAATCTCAGTGTCATGAGTTCAAGCCCCATGTTGGACTCCACAATGGGCATAGAGCCTACTTTAAAAAAAGAAAAAGGAAACAATCCCATTTTCAATTGCACCAAAAAGAATAAAATACCTAGGAATAAACAACGAAGGAGGTGGAAGATCTGTACTATGAAAACTATAAAACATTGATGAAAGAAATTGAACACAAGGGCTCCTGGGTGGCTCAGTTGGTTAAGTGTTTGCCTTCAGCTCAGGTCATGATTTTAGGGTCCTGAGATGGACCCTGCTTAGTGGGGAGCCTGCTTCTCTCTCTCCCTTTGCCCCCTCCAACCATGCCCTCTCTCTCTCTCAAATAAATAAAATCTTAAAAAAAAGAATGAAAGAAATTGAACACAAACAAATGGAAAGATAGTCCATGCTCATGGATTGGAAAAACAAACATTGTTTAAATGTCCATGCTACCCAAATCAATCTACAGATTTAAAAATGCAATGCCTATCAAAATACCAACAGCATTTTTCACAGAACCAGAAAAAACAATGCTAAAATTTGTATGGAAACCACAAAAGACTCTCAATGGCCAAAGCAATCTGGAAAAAGAAAAACAAAGCTGGAGATGTCACAATTTTAGACTTCAAATTATATTACAAAGATGTAGTGATCAAAACAGTACGGTACTCGCACAAGCATACACACGTAGATCAGTGAAAAAGAATAGAGAGCCTAGAAATAAACCCATAACTATATGGTCAACTAATCTTTGACAAAGCAGGAAAGAATATCCAATGGGAAAAAGATAGTCTCTTCAACAAATGGTGTTGGGAAAACTGGACAACAAAATGCAGAAGAATGAAACTGGACCACTTTTGTATACCATACACAAAAATAAACTGCAAATGAATTAAAGACCTAAATGTGAGACTTGAAACTGTAAAATTCTAGAGGAGAGCACAGGCAGTAATTCTCTGACATTGGCTATGACATCTTTCTAGATATATCTCCTGAGGCAAGGGAAACAAAAGCAAAATTAAACTATTGGGACTACATCAAAATAAAATATATATAAAGAACTTATACAACTCAACACCAAAAAAACCACAAATAATCCAAATAAAAAAATGTGCAGAAGACATGAACAGACATTTCTCCAAAGAAGACATACAGATGGCCAACAGACACACGAAAAGATGCTCAACATCACTCACCATCAGGGAAATGCAAATCAAAATCACAATGAGATATCACCTCACACCTGTCAGAATGGCTAAAAATCAAAAACACAAGAAACAAGTGTTGGTGAGGAGGTAGATAAAAAGGAACCCTTGTGCACTGTTGGTGGGAATGCAAACTGGTGCAGCCACTGTGGAAAACAGTATGAAGGTTCCTCAAAAATTAAAAATAGAACTACCCTACAATCCAGTAATCACATTACTGGGTATTTACCCAAAGAAAACAAAAACACTACTTTGAAGGGATATATGCACCCCTGTGTTTACTGCAGTGTTATTACAATAGCCAAATTTACATTTTACACCCCGTGTCCATTGATAGATGAATGGATAAAGAAGATGTGGTGTATATATAGAAGATACATCTTCATATATATATATATATATATATATATATATATATATATATACACACCCTCACAATGGATATTATTCAGCAATAAAAAAGAATGAAATCATGTCCTTTGTAACAACATGGATGGAGTCAGAGAGTATAATGCTAAGCAAAATAAGCCAGTCAGAGAAAGACAAATACCAGACGATTTCACTCGTATGTGGAATTTAAGAAACAGAACAAATGAACAAAGAGAGGAAAAAAGACAAACCAAAATAAACTAAGAATAGACTCTTAGCTACAGAGAACAGATGGTTACCAGAGGGAGGGAGGTGGGGGATGAGTGAAATAGGTAAAGGGTATCTTGATAAGCACTGAGTAATGCATAGAATCTTGAATCACTACATTGTACACCTGAAACTAATATAACACTGTATGTTAACTACACTGGAATGACAATAAAATAAAGTAAGAACTTTTTTAGTTAAAAAAAAAAAGATCCTGCTTTCAAATCTTTTGGATATACATATAGAAGTGGAATTAGTGAATCATATGGTAATTCTATTTTTAATTTTTTTGACGAACTGCCATGTTGTTTTCCACAGTGGCTGCACCATTGTACATTCCTACCAACAGTGCACAGGGTTTCTATTTCTCTACATCCTCACCGACACCTATTATTTTCTGGTTTTTTGATAGTAGCCATCCTAACCGGTATGAGGTAGTATCTTTCTTTTTTCTTTTCTTCTTTTTTTTTTGTTTTTGCTTTTCTTTCTTTTTCCCTTTTACAACATAATTGCATCTTAATGGTTTTGTCTACCAGTGAATAGACAGTTTCCTTCCTTTCTAATTTTTTGAATAGTCTAAAAGAAGTACTTGTTAAATGTGTCATGGCACATGTGGTATAAGAAAAATCTTTAAATATTTTTGATTTAGACATTGCACAGATATTATAATACAAGATAAACGAGAGCACATTTTATCTTTGCACTTGTGAAACCTTATGGCACTGTTCCTCAAACATATGTTTTCTTTTCATAAAGCCCTAGGGGGAAGAAAAGATAGCCATCTTATCTATGTTACAGTGATATATACATCTTAAACAGTAAAAGATGTTCCCCTACATCTGCATAAATGAGTTGCAAGGGGAAGAGTGAACAGTCTGCTAACTGCTTACTTCATTCAGACTGCCATAGACTTGACATTGCAGGATAGATATGTGATTGGAATTAAGTTATTAAATTGTGTGATATAAACCACAGGTACATTTGCAATCTCGCCATCCTACTTTGCTACCTTTATTCACTGGAGTGGAGAATCCCTGTCTCTCAGGTTCAGATAAGCAAAATTAAATAAAACATGAACTACTTCTTTCCTGGAAGAGGCAAAATCTAGTTAAATGCTAAACGGCGTCTATTCCAAACAGGACAAAGGAGGACA